TGTCTGATCTTGGCTTCTCCGATACTCTTAACAAACTAGCGGATTCAGAGTGCGATTGCACTTAAAAATGACCCAATTGCTAATTATTCTTTATTGTAATTTCAGGGGCTTGAAGAATCCAAATTCCTAGATGCCTTCTCAAAACTGGATTTTGAGTGGATTATGGACCTGCACACCGAATTTAGCCGCAAGGTTCTGCATCTCAAACCCGGCCAACGAGCAGTCATCATTAACGGTCGAGTACGTCGTCAGGCCCTGAATATCTTCCATACATTCACAATACTTTCAATCCATGCTATGCTTCCCTTTTGCTCTGTTGTCTTCGCCTAAGTCGAGTTGGAATTTTACAATAAGTTGTTTTACCTGTATTGTCTTCATGTTATGTAACATGCATTAGTTGCGTGAACAGGAAGTCCTCAAGAAACTTTTATTCCGGATCCAACTCGCCCGAAATGTATTAGTTTCGCAGGGCTAGTGGCTACGAGATAGCATGCTTCATTGGCGACAGGAAATAAACCAACACTGAACTGACATTAGAAGTTTGCATAGAAATGTAGCCAAATATTGTTCATTTGCAGAGTTATTCATCGCCCAGAAGATCGTCCATTAGTATATTTTTAGAGCCTGTTTTGTATTAAGTTACAGTGTCACATCGGTGTTTCTCTTCCCATGTGGCTAATCCTTTTGGATTCCTAAACTAGTTCTTTCTTCAGCGCAAATAAATTAAACCATAATCTCACATATAGATAGTCTCTCATCGCATTCACTTTCATCATCATGTTTTCCATCGTCAGGAAGGGATATCTATCCCTATTTGCGACCTGCATTGCGTTTTAGCATTGCTGGTTTGCCTTGATTTTTTCTCAGCCTCTTTCTAATGTATTTACTACACAGGGGGCCTCAACCCTTGTTCCTAATTTAGTAAATCTCTTTTAAAACTCATTTTACTTTGGAGGCCTTATACCCACCCCAATTCCGACTTCCTGTGCTGCGCTTCCCGACATTCTGGGGAAAAGTTAGCACGCTAACTTCCAGAACGAACATGAATTCGGTGCGGTAGAACATGACAACTACTTTAAAACATGCTCTATTGCACTTGTTTGTTACCGTACCGAACACCACATAATCATCTTTACGACGGTTAAGGACCATGCATAGAAGGCGCCTTTTTAGCGCGTCTAGCGTCCGGAAATATATATAGCCGAACAACAGCATTTATTTGAGGTCGTCCTGACCTATGTGGGGCTATCTACTGGGATAAAAGAACAAGTTACTGAGATGTTTGTTAATATGAGCAGCCACTTTTGTTTTAAAAGTAGGCAGAGCTAGGGAATCGAATCCTCAATCGCAGATATGGCCAGATATTTCGTCGTAAAACCGGAGACAGTTTCGCCTGTCATCCATTATTTGTCGGCAGACTGTTTTCAGCTTTACATTGCTCGAGCAAGTTGATGTCTGGTAGTGAAATAATATTTCGTTCTATATCCGCTCCAGTGTCTTGTAC